AGGCAGAGGGTGAGCTCCCTTTCTGTGAACAGTGATCAGAGCAAGCTGGTCCTTTGCTTCTTATCCAGATTCCTTCTGCATGCTGAACAGTACAACACACTAGAAGTGAACATTATTAAACTCAAGGGTGGTATGTTAAACTCTCGTCACACATGGGGAACATCTGTGCTCTTAGATGGAGCTCCAGTTCAGTTTTGAGAAAATTAATTTGGACCGGATCAAGGAGGCAAGATGAACATTGTGGTTCGCAGCTATTTACAGTGAATAGTGTTCTAGATTTGGTGTGACTACTGGGGCTCTGCATGAAGTTGTTCAGCACTTGGCGATTTCTTGGGAGGGTTCAGCCATTTGAATACATTCAAGCTGTACACCTTGAGGAAAATCAGCAAAATGCTAAATTAAAAACATATGATACTCACCTGATCTACGTCTGGATTCCCATAGTTAGTATTAAAGCTCCATATTACCCAAGTTCTTACTAGCGGGTTTCTTTGGGTACAGAGAAGTGGTCTGTGTTGGGATTAACCTGAAAAACATCCAATTTATTTTTAATTTCAGGCCAGGCCTAGGATGACAATTGACAACTGTAAATAAAATGACAGCTGCAAACTGTTTCTTCACTGATTCTGAAACTCAAAGCTTTCACAGATGATTTTAAAATTAAACTAGAATTCAGGAGTGGGTATCGCATAGAAGGTGGATTCTTTCCTGCTTTTATGAGAACATAAAGCTTTAGAGTATCTGTGGCCACAGAGCCTGTCCTGCTCTCTGGTAGATTCATGTTCTACTGTACGGATTCTGTGTGTCCCTTTCTAATAGCGTCCCACACAATGAGCCTGAAGCACATGTCCGGGGACGTGGCTCCAGACTCCCGCAACCCTCTGTGTAAAGTAGTGTCTCCCCGTTGTCTGTCTTGAATGTCTCTACTCTTCCACTTGTGTCCCGGTTTCCCTGTGGAGCTGCTGAGGCTGGAGGAGTCTCTTGAGCTGACTTGGTCAAGACGTTTCAGGACAATGATGAAATCAAGTCCTCACATAACCAGCTCTGTTTCAAGCTAAAAAGATTCAGTTCCCTTAATCTGGCATGACCAGTAAATTACAGTGTTGCCACAGCACATACAGTCAGTATTGGACTTTCCTGGATTTAAATCGCTTTCCCGAATCTAAATTGTACGCTGTTAACCATATAATCCAAGCATTTTCTGTTGCAATGTTGGACGTTTCAGAGGCGGTGAATAATGTAACACCTTAGTTTAAAACCAAGGACACAAACTGCAGAAGTGATTTTTTTTTTCGTTCGAATACAGCAAAAGCCTGGCCATCGACGTGTTGAAATATTATAACGCGTTCTTCCACGTGGCCTTCAACTGAAAAGTTAAATTATTACAGGGAGCAGTGTAGTTCAGCACCTCTTTGATGTGCCCTACGAGTTTCAGACATTTCAGCCGTTTCGATTCAACCAGATGAGGCTTTGAAATTTATAGACGGATTTTTTTGTTGTTGTTGTTGTTGTCGAGAACGAGACTGACCTTTTGTGGCGTATACTGTATATAAAAATAGACCCGCTGTTTTGAAGGAAATTCGCTTTCACAGACACAGCGAGTCTCCCGGGATGCTGCTGGCGGTGTGTTCATTTTCCTGTCATAGAGCTGCGCTTCCTTTACGAGTGTACATCCAAGGTCTTGTCTCACAAGAGCGGAAATTAACGCCAGGGAAGGATATTCGTCCCCACAGATTCGTTCTTCAGATAGAAGAATACCTACAGTATACCACTCAGTCCTTGTTTACAGCGAGACAGGTCCAGCGGAAATACATCTCTCTCTATACAGTATATATATATGCCACGTTTTTTACTCCGCGTCTCGCTGACACAAAAGGAGAGGATGCGCCTGACGAACCGTGGTCTTGTCCCAGCCCACCCCAGCCCGGTCCTGTGGAGGTGAAGTCCGCTTCAGTTTCTGGTTGGGGAACAGAGCCGGGGCACGAACCCCCCTTTGCCTCCCCCCGATCAGCTCCGGGTTGTGTTATGTTTCACGTTTCTACAATACAGCCTTTCAGAGATTTTCTCACCAAGTCTCCACCCCGCCAGTAGCGCGTCTGTGGTTCCCCGCAGACATCTACAAGCTCAACGAGTAGCGGGACGTGAGGACACCTCGGCCGGGGGCACATCCCCGGCGGCGCTGAGCAAACACGCAGGCGAGGGGGCGAGGTGAGAGCAGACCTGACGTCAGATCTCACTCCGGCGGCCCCCCCCTGAATCCCGCGTCCTCGCCTGCCGCTGTGGACGTGGACCCGGACCCGGGGCGGTGTTCAGCGCCGGTGCCGACCCGCTCCTGCTCGGGGCTGGCGTGCTCTGTAGAAGCAGCGAAGGGAGGCGGCGGGAGGACGGACGGAGCCTTTGAAGTTTTTCATTCAGATACAGTTACTCCAGGCGTGGTGACGTGCGGGAGAAACCCCCCAGCCTAAGAGCTGCCCGGTAAGATCCCTTTGTTTTACGGATGCTATTCTCTGCTAGCAACTAGAGGGGAAACGGGCTGGGGCACGGGAGAGCGATTTTTTTTAACAAGGGTATTTTGATACATTGTAAGGAAAGCACGAGGGGAGCTCAGTTTCATTTCTGTTTTTAAAAAGAGAGTTTTTTTTTAGTTACACTGTAATTAACCCCGCCACCGCGGTCTCCTGTGAGTTGTGTTTATGTCACGTTTGAGCTGGGTTTTCGTGGGGACCCGGGAGGAGAACACGCGTGTGGCTCGCTGTAAACATGTGCGGCTTGTCGGCCTTGGCGGTTTTGGATATTACTGTATTCATCTTGCGCACGACTGAAAACTTTTGTTTCTTCCTAAAAGTAAGCGCCTAGAGGTCACGTTACGTCCTCTGCGAGCGTTTGCACCCGAAGGGTATGGAGAGCCACAACATTACGATACATGTGTACGTACGCACTAGGCGCGACAGATGAAGAAAACAACTTTTGTTCCAAATTAACTTCAGACATGGACACCATTCAATCCATGTTAATATTGCAGTAACCAGCATAAAATGTTTTTTTTTTTAATTATTTGATCATTTTATCGTCAGGCTCGGTTGTGAAGGTGTTATTTCAGTCGGGTTTCTTACTCATGTGTTAATTATATGCTGAAATCCATTATAATAACGGGTTTCAATTCTCCTGGAGGCCCCTGGAGAAGAGGGGGGGTCAGGAGGCCGGCGTCCCCGGCAGAGGTTACACCCTGTCATAGCGGGGATAAGGAGGTCTCCTTGTTTTGTGTTTTTGGAGTGCGTGTTAGTGAAACACCCCGCCGTGGAGCTGTGTTATACACAGCAGGGATAAGGCGACTGTGAGCTGTCCAGGTCACAGGGAGTGGTGTGGAATTTGCGGAATTGTGGAGTTTCCTCCTGTTCTGTAGATACAAACACAGTGTGCGGTTCTGTGCGTGGCTGTGTGCAGCACCGCAGAGCTCAGAACCGGCAAAGAACAGCCGTCTCATCCATGGAATCTCAAACATCCGGCTTGATTAAGAGGAATCTCACCCGTGGAGCTTAAAATATCTTTAAAGAATAGTTGACATAAACAGGAACTTACAGATAGATGATGGCTTGAGTTCTCCAAATTGTCACTGAATAATACTTTTGGGTGGCTTCATGGTACTTGAAGCATGTTCAGGGGAACAGTCGCTGTAGAATCCTTTTACTAGCTGCTGTCACACAACATTTAAAGGAGTAATATCAAAACATTTTTTGTCAGTAATGCCAACACAAAAACCAAATTCACTTTTTGCCCTAATCTGGCTTTTCTTACTGGCCACGGCAGTTTGTGTTTTAGTATTGGGTGAGCTGCACACTGAGTGGATAAGATGGCGACAGGCCTTGTGGGAGACTGGAATTAGGGGTGGGGACAGCCTACTGTGTGTTTGTTTGTGTTTTTCTTTGTGAAATATGAAACTCTGTAATGTCTCCTTTCATGGAGGCCAGGAGAGTATCTGAAAATCTGAATTTGCTTTCTGGAGGTGAAGGACACAAGGAGAAAATATTCAAGCCTTATCTGGCAAGGCTAACCGTGAACCACTTTTGAGGTTTGTTTTGTAAAAAAAAAAATCAAAAAGTCTAATTTTTAAAAATAAAAACGGGGAATGGATTTTTAAAGCCTGCTGAAAAAAAGAAAAACAATACATCTGAAAATGTAAATGAACGTGTTATAAAAATGGTGATTATCAAATCAAGCTCCATGCTTTTAGCACTGCGGTGACTGGAGAGCCTGTAGTGGTTTTCTCGATAAGGTCACCTTCAGCTCCTCATTTAAGAGGCTATTAAAGTCCCTGATAAAGAAAATTGATGGTCTCCTATCTCTCATGTTTAGACCTCCCACAGTGCACTTGGAGTATTTCTGTTCATTGGCCCTCAAGAGAACCTCCATCTCCTGGTTCGGCACACTGAGGCAGTGGCAGAAGGGTTCTGAAACAGTACTGGGCGGTGACCGTATTAAAAACGTAAAGCAACATCCTCAGTTCCCTATTCTGTGAAATCTAAAACAATTCTGCTAACCCAGACGTTTTAATGATGCAGAAAAAGTGTTTTACTTTCATTTTAGACTAAATGTGCACACCTGCTGCACAGTTTAGTAAAACCCATCAACGTATTAATATGGTTCGATTGTGCCGTGTGTAATTACATTTGCTTTTAAGGATATAACTGAACCCTGTTAATGTCCAGAGAGAGAGAAGAGCAGGATTCCAGTTTTCAGTTGCAGTATAAATATTTAACTGAGATCGTGTAATTAAGAGCATTACTGTGTAGCTAGATCACTGTATTAGCTCTTAGTTTGACCCTTTAATTCATTCTGTATAATTATATATATAAATCAGTAAGAAATAGTGTATGTAAGTGTGGCTGTTTAGATTGTTAAAATAACTTTTTGTTACTGCTATGACAATAAATGAACCTCGCAGAATTAATTATAGCTGCCACCTGTTGAGTCAATTTGTGTTCATGTTAGAATATTTCATCATCGAAAACACAGAAGGTGGCAATGCACAGACAGGTAATACTGTGCAATATAATACAGTACTTTAAACTGTATATAGTTTAAATAATAGTTCTTTGTCGTGTTGAGTGTGGTTATGCAACACGCTGAACATTGTTGTCGGAGCCATGTTAATTCAGCTCTGAAGTGGTCGGTGTGGCTCAGTGAATGTGTGCCTCCGATGCTACTGTGCCACTCGTGAGCTCAGCAGCAGCAGCCTGATGAGGTGAGGCCAGGGCACCTCTGATGGACCCCGAGTCCGCGGCTTTCCTGCCCAGAGAAGCAGCTTCTAGAACCATGGTGCTCATACTCCCCACAAAGGAATGGGATCAACGGACTGGCCAGTTTTGAAGGCTTCTGTTCACATTTGTGTTCTGCAATGATCACTGCACGGTGCTGTGGTTACGGCAGGCGGTGTCTGGGGTCATCGCTGTGCTGTAGCGCACGAGGGACGAGGGTGTCCCGGCCTGTGGCTTTGCGAGGAGTGGACTAGCCAGGGCAGACTGGATAGGAGCTCCTGAACTGCAGTGGCTTTGACACAGGAAGCTGAGCAAGGCCCCGGTGCCTGTGGTTTTTTTAACGGGGGGCTTTTTAAACGGTCGGCAGAGGACTACCAGGGACTCCACAGGGGTGGCCTGCCCAGTGTCTGAAAAGAAACCGCGGTGTGTTGCGGAGACAGATGTCGCCAAGGGGAACAGAAGTCCTCTGTGATCAGTGGGGTCTCCCAGGGGAGAGGCAGACTCACTGAGCAGCTCTGCAGAGGGAGAAAGTAGAACGACACAGACAGGAGTCCCTGACAGCCTGATTGTGCTGTTGGGCAGAGCAGGCCATGTTGAGGATAACTGACTCATTGGGTATTATTTATTAACCGAAGAAACAGCACTCATTTAGTGTTAGCAAGCTCATTTGTTGTTAGCAGTTAATATACACAAAGGTCTTTTTAAAACCACTCTCAGTGCTCCTTGACAGTGTCCCGAGCTTAAACGATCTTAAATTCCCCGATGCTAATAGTCTCACTTAATTTATTTACTGCTCTGCTGTTATGCTGTCATGGGAGATTTTAGGCAGATTGTATTTTAACCGAGGATTCTGGTGGGTTAGAAATGTTTGCTTTTGAAAACGCTTATCATTCATCAGCACTTGGGGCTTCCCCACCGAAAACTGCCCTTCCCCCCTCACGTGCACCTCTCAACTGAGTCACTCACAGAGCAATGGGTTGATTAGATGGCATCAGCTTTTTTTTTGGTGGTGGCAACTTTGTACAGTACTGTACATCCTTTCAGCTCTGGGAAGCTTCCAGAAGGTCGTTGCAAATGTTAGCGAATCCCCTTTCTAGCACTTCAAGAGATGTCAAAACTCTGCTCTTATGTTAAATTAACCTTGACTCTGAGGGTAGAAGGATCCCTCAGTCACTCCTTCTTGAAAGGGCTGCCAACAGGCTCTTGCAAACGGGACTGATTCCTGAAAACTGTCCCCAAGTCCTTTAGGGTGAATTCTGTCTTCACAGGTTATTATCTACACTTTACACTCACAAATGTCAAGATACGTGCAGCTTCATTGCCTCCAAACACACCATGGGTTATTAAAATAACAGCTTTTATTTATATGTGCTTTCCAAAAACCTGCCAAAAAACGCACAATCATCTTGCACTTAAACGTAAAAAGAGCAGAGCACAGTAAAGTAACCTTTGAAAAGGATCCTTAAAAAGCTCTCGTGAAAGGTTGGATCTCCAAGCACGTTTTGAAATGTGTTTTGGAGCAGTGAGTTTCACAGACGTGGGGCTGTACAAGAGCGATAGTGCTGGCATTCAGCAGAGGGAGAAAGCCTGAATCAGCAGGCTTCGGATTAACATCTGGACTAAATTCATTAAATACATTCTTAAGATAACCTAGAGCTAGACTGTTCAGTGCCGTATGTAAACAGGACAACCTTAAAGTCCACTTGAAGAGTAATGTGCTCAGGATGGGAGTTTTAGCCACAGAATATTGGACATATTGAAGCCTATTTAGTACCTTTGATAATAACTCAGTAGTATTTAATTACATTTATATAGTGCTTTTCATCCCAAATGATCCCAGAACCCTTACCATACGGGAGGGGACCCACTTTATCCAGCACTGAAGTGTAGCTCCACCAGAGTGACAGAGCGGAAATAACTTTCAGGGAGTTACTAGTGTAACTTTCGGGGAGGCTGGGAGGTACAGGTCTGGCCAGGACACTAGAGGACACCTCGGCTCTTACAAACAGAGCCACCCAATCTTTAATGAGTCAGTAGCCAGGACCTTGGGTTGACGTCTCTCCCGAAAAAGACAGCACCTCCTGCAGCGCGGTGTCTCCGTCGCCATACAGCAGCACTGGTGTGGAAGTTCTAGTCCACGGGGAGGAGCGCCCCCTATTGGCCCAGCAACAGCACATACCGCACATCCCAGTACAGAGTGGGCCCACCCCTCCTGTAAGAGAGTAAGGCTGCTGTCTTACCGGCGTCCAACCGCGGTTCATTGAGTAAAGGCTTGGATCTGTATTTCTGCCCTTGCTATCTTAGCTAGCGTGAGCTCCAGATGGCAGCGCGGGCCGAGGACAGGAGAAGAGGGAACAGAAGTCGCCTCGCGTGGCCCGGCGGAGCTGTTTTCTGACAGCCACTTCCAGCCTTGTCCTGTCCTCACGGAGCTTCAACACCAGGCAGGGGCGAAGCAGCGGCACTCCTGACGTCCCGGTGTTTTTTCCACAGGAGCCATGATTCCGGTGACGGAGTTCCGGCAGTTCTCGGAGCAGCAGCCGGCGTTCCGGGTTCTGAAGCCCTGGTGGGACGTGTTCACGGAATACCTGTCGGTGGTGATGCTCATGATCGGGGTGTTCGGGTGCACTTTGCAGGTCAGTGTGTGTCTTTCAGCTGGGACAGCACTCCCCAGCTCCCCTCTCCTTACCTGCTGGGGGCTCAAGGGTCCTGCCAGACTTATTGCTAACTGTTGCTCATCCCCGCAGACGGTAAGCTGAACATCCACAGGAGAACTCCAGCTTCATTGAGAAGGCTTCCCAGCAACCACAAGCTTCTCCTTTTTCCAGGCACGTTCCTTCAGGAGGGCTGTAGTCACGACAGGGGTGTGACAGTGCAAGCCTGTTTAGATTCACAGGTTTTCTGAACCTGAATGTTTTCCAGCGCAGCTAATATCTGATGCCGCTGTCTTTGTGAAGTAATCTTGTCTTGCATCGCACAGAAGCTGAAATGGGATGTGTAAGGACAAGCATGCAAGATCCAGGATGTGTCAAAGCACCGATGCTTTCCGAGTGCATGAAGTAACAGAAACGCAGAGTTCGGGTTCAGGGCAGCGAGCGGCTGGGCCGAGGGGGAGCTGAGCTGGTGGGCAGATGGGATTGAGTTACCAGATGATAGTTGAGTAGCAGCACAGCTGAGGTGAAAGCGGACGACAGGGATTCCAATTTCTCGTGCGTCAGCTCCGCCGGGCAGTGCGACCCGGGCGCTCCGAGCCAGGAAACGCGGGGCTGGAGGGAGCAGACGGAGCGCGTTGCCCTTTAGAAACCTGCGTGGCCCCCGCGAGGGGGGCAGCCGGCCCGGGGCTGGGGAGGAGGCTGGGAGGGCGCTGGACGATCACAGCTGGACGAGGGCGCTGGACGTTCACAGCTGGACGAGGGCGCTGGACGATCACAGCTGGACGAGGGCGGGGGTTTCGGCGCAGGTGCCTGAAGCCGTGAAAGCCCTCCTTGCAGACGCTCGCAGTCGGTCTGTTTCATCAGTCCCACTGGCCATCTGGAGACTTGTGATTGAGGTCTGAAGCTTTTCAGGACAGAAGAGTTTTTAACTGTTTTAGAGAAAACGCAATAGTCACTGAAGGCCTTTTTAGCGGCTCTCTTCCCCTGATCTCCTAACGATGTCGCGGGTCTGAGTCATCACCGTTTCCCAGTCAGCAGCAGCTGGGGTATGACGTCACCTCTAATCCAGAGGTTCCCAGCTCTGACCCTCGCAGTTCTGAGGTATAAACAGCTCTTTGCCTGGGACGATGTTTAATCAGAGCAGAATTCTGCAGGAGGGTCCAGAGCTCCAGAAGTCCCAAATTGGAAACCTACTGCTCTAAACCTTGTGTGGTGCTGGCAGTCACTTCAGGAGAGAACTTCAGTGCTCTGAAGCAGCAGCGGAAGTGCTGGTTGGATTTAACAAGGAATTCTAATGGCTAAATATTTTGCTGTGATGTACACGGATATAGACTGTTTCAGTACTGATGTACCACATCAGTGTGACGGCAGACAGCTTCACGGAGGTCCTAATAATTTACTTCACTTTCTTTTATCTTACATGCTGCAGAGACTTAAATAGAACTAAAGAGAGGAAAATGGTTCCATGCCTAGAGGAATCTGAGTGATGGAGAATTCAGTGTGAACCGTTGAAAAAACATCGACAGGATGTGGGCTGTGTCAAATCTTATAAATACACAGCAGTCAAATAAGAGCTCAAAAGCATACAATAAAATTGTGGCATTTCCTGTGATACCCAGATGAATTGTAAGGTTTTTGTTTTCTGGAAACTCTGTTCAGCAGAGCAGCATATTCCGTTGAGTTTTGCTACATGTTTGTTTTTTCAAGTGACTTTTGCTGCTGATTCATTGTTTCAAATAATGCCTAGCTGAGGCACAATGGACCCTAAAGCAGATGGTACGTGTGTTTTTTTGGGACATTTTAAGAGCAGCTGTTTGTTGAGGGTATATGTATGAATAATTGAATCTGCAGGATGAGTGATAGATTCCCAAGCCTTCCAGGAAGGACTACAACTGTCAGACAGAGTAACAAGGAAAAGGCTACAGAAAACTGACTGTGTTCTTCTTATAGATTTTCTGGAAATAGTGCAAAACCTTGAAATACTAAACCACTGGCTGTGATTGGGGAAATACTGCTGGCATGTGTGAATATATGTGTATATAAAACAAGGGTCACTCAGGCTAATACTTCTCATTTAAAAACAATCCTTTGACAGGAAGGTGCTTAGAATTAAACTTTACCTTGTCTTATTGCTGCATCCAAAATACTCCTGCAGAGTGCTGCTCCTGCCAAACTATTAGGCCTGGTCCTTGATTACATTGTGACTGAGAGTAAAACTGGTATATTACTTTATGGGTGATCCTTGTGCTGTATTTCTATATTTGCGTCAGTGAAGGTGAAAATAAATTGTGGACTTTTTATGCAGTGGTCAGTTTTACAGTTTATAATGAAATTGTAAGCCTGTGATTTAAAGTAGGAGGGTGCACAAGTGATTGACCATGGTTGGGGTTTGACATCTGCCAGAGCCAACCAAAAAGAAGGAAGAGTTTGGAATAGGCAGGCAGGTTAATGGATGTACTTTTTGTCCAACTGTCTTTGAGTGAGTGTGGCTCCCCCTGGGATGTACAAGTTCTGGTGCTTCTCCTTGCTTTTGGCATCAATATTTTAAATGTTGTCACACAAGAAGAACTGAAACACAGACACTGAGATTCAGTCTTACACATAAAAGACATCCTACAGATACAGCAGCAGCCAAATCCAGCAGACAGTCACAGTTGTAAGTTTGGTGGGAACTAGTCAGACCTTTTGTTTACTTTGGAATACAGATTTATTATCAATAAACTTGTTTTTTACTCGGCCCTGAAACTACTGTCTTTTGGCTGTCTAGTTCTTTAAATATAATGTTGAATTACGGTCATCTTAAGCTCTTCACAGTGGCTAAATATATTCTTTAAGTAAAATAAACAGGACTGCGTCAGTGTTTATCATAACAGAACAAAGGAAATCTGTTCTTTCTCAAGGCATCTGGGTGAATTGTTCAGCTTGAAGTTCTGTTTGCTGAGCTCCTAAAGAGTCTGTTTTTAAAAGACATTGAAATCTATGAGAAAGAATGTTGGTGTGGAAGCCTAGGTGGAATTTGTAGGTCTTTAGTACAGATTAGTTCAGTTTTTTATCTGACACAAGCTGCATTGCTCTGTTTAAGTGCTGTGGCTCAACATTATTATTTTTTTAAATCTTAGCCTGGTGTTCTTTGTAAGAAATCAGAAGCAACTGAGCATGTTTTTCTTACCGAATCTGTTACATCTCCATAAACTACACGTGAAACCAGAGTTCTTTTGTGGGCTACGCAGAAAAATGAGGACAGATGTTTTTTTTTTTTAAATTGTAATGATACTGTACTTGATTTTCAGCATCTGTCTGTTTTATCTTGTGTTTCAGGTAATGCAAGACAAAATCATCTGCCTTCCCAAAAGGATGTCCACGCCAAACCAAACTCTCCTCAACACAAGTACTGTGGTTCCCTTAGAGCCTCCCTTAACAGTCCCCAGTCCAGCCTCTTCTGTGCCAAATCCCCAGGAAATGAGGGGCTTGAAAACCAACCTGGACCTCCAGCAGTACAGCTTTATCAATCAGATGTGCTATGAGAGAGCACTGCACTGGTACGCCAAATATTTCCCTTACTTGGTTCTGATCCACACTCTGATTTTCATGATGTGCAGCAACTTCTGGTTTAAGTTCCCGGGATCCAGCTCCAAAATCGAGCACTTCATCTGCATCCTGGGAAAGTGTTTTGATTCACCCTGGACAACCAGGGCCCTGTCGGAGGTGTCTGGGGAGAACCCGGAAGAGAAGGACAATAAGAAAAACAGCCTGAGCAAGTCCGCCGTGAACGTGTCCGTCACTGAAGGCAACCTGGTGAAGACCCAGTCCCTCAAGTCCATCCCGGAAAAGCTGGTCGTCGACAAGCCCGCTGCGGGAGCGCTGGACAAGAAGGAAGGAGAGCAGGCCAAGGCTCTGTTCGAGAAGGTCAAAAAATTCCGTCTGCATGTGGAAGAGGGAGACTTGCTGTACATCATGTACGTCCGCCAGACAGTGCTGAAAGTGCTGAAGTTCCTCATAATCATCGCGTACAACAGCGCCCTGGTGTCGAAGGTGCAGTTCACGGTCAGCTGCAACGTGGACATACAGGACATGACTGGCTACACCAATTTCTCCTGCAATCACACCATGGCACACTTATTCTCCAAGCTCTCCTTCTGCTACCTGTGCTTCGTCAGCGTTTATGGATTCACGTGCCTCTATACCTTGTACTGGCTGTTCCACCGCTCCCTCAAAGAGTACTCCTTCGAGTATGTGCGCCAGGAGACCGGGATCGATGACATCCCCGATGTCAAGAACGACTTCGCCTTCATGCTCCACATGATTGACCAGTACGATCCGTTGTACTCCAAGCGGTTTGCCGTGTTCCTCTCCGAGGTCAGCGAGAACAAGCTGAAGCAGCTGAACCTGAACAACGAGTGGACGGCCGAGAAACTGCGCCAGAGGCTGCAGAGCAACGCCAACAACCGCCTGGAGCTGCAGCTCTTCATGCTGTCCGGCCTCCCAGACACCATTTTCGAAGTGACGGAGTTACAGTCCCTGAGGCTGGAGATCATCAACAATGTCACCATACCAGCAGCCATTGCCCAGCTGGAGAGCCTGCAGGAGCTCTCTCTGTATCAGTGCTCTCTGAAAATCCACTCCGCAGCTGCTTCGTTTTTGAAAGAAAACCTGAAGGTCTTGAGAGTGAAGTTTGATGACAGCAGGGAGCTGCCAACTTGGTTGTACACTCTGCGTAATTTAGAGGAGCTCCACCTCATCGGTTCCTTAAGCCCGGACATGTCCAAGAACATCACCCTCGACTCCCTGCGTGAGCTCAAGTCCCTCAAAACCCTCTACCTGAAAAGCAATTTCACCAAAATCCCCCAGTCCATAGTGGATGTGTCCAGTCATTTGCAGAAGCTCTACGTCCACAATGATGGCACCAAGCTGGTCATGCTGAATAACCTGAAGAAAATGGTCAATCTGGTCGAGCTGGAGCTGGTGCACTGCGACCTGGAGAGGATCCCTCATGCTGTCTTCAGCCTGACCAACCTCCAGGAGCTGGACCTGAAGGAGAACAACCTCAAGTCCATCGAGGAGATCCTCAGCTTCCAGCACCTGCGCAAACTCACCTGCCTGAAACTGTGGCACAACGGGATCACCTACATACCTGAGCACATCAAGAAGCTGACAAGCCTGGAAAGACTCTACTTGAGTCACAACAAGATCGAGATTCTCCCTTCCCACCTCTTTCTGTGTAACAAGCTCCGATACCTGGACTTGTCCTACAATGACATTCGGTTCATCCCACCCGAGGTCGGAGTGCTCCAGAGCCTTCAGTACTTCTCTGTCATGTGCAACAAAATCGAGAGCTTACCAGATGAGCTCTTCTTCTGCAAGAAGCTGAAGACCTTGAAGCTTGGAAAGAACACTCTGTCAGTGCTGTCCCCAAAGATTTCTTACCTGGTTTCACTGACGCACTTGGAACTGAAAGGCAACCACTTCGAAGGGCTGCCGGCCGAGCTGGGGGCCTGCCGGGCACTGAGGCGTAGTGGGCTTGTTGTGGAAGACGCCTTGTTTGAAACGCTGCCCTCTGAAGTACGAGAGCAGATGAAAGCAGAGTAGCTCGCTTGCTTTCTGCAAAATGCCAAATGTCTTAAACTGACAATCCAGACTGTCTGTGTGACATTTCAAATTAGTTTATTGTCAAACTACAATTTATCATTTGACTTTTTTTAGTTGAGTTTATTATGTTGTTGACATCAGTCGTTTCGAAGAAAGTTCTGTCGGTATACATGTTTACTGAACTACATTTATGTGTTTTCATATTGCGTGTCCTAGATATGAATATTGGATCACCACTTAGCTTCAGTTTCCAAAATATCTCATTTCTCTTTTGGTTTATATTCAAATCTGGTAAGGTTTTTTTAATCAAATAATCAGGGCTGTTACACTATGCAGAAACTGACATATAAAGAATGTTTGTTCAGCTCGGCTGCTTTCAGCTGCTTGGTGGAAATGGCTTCTGAACGTGGGTATCTTCTGTGTGGAGTTTGTGTGTTTTACTGTGCCTGCCAGGGTATTCCACTTATTCTCTGGTTTCTTCCCACCTCCTAAAGAGGTGTGGACTGGTGAACTGGTATCTCTAGACTGACCCTGTATGTGTGTGTGCCCTGTGGTGAACTAGTGTCTTGTGATGGACTGCTGTCCTGTCCAGGCGGTGTGTGTGTGTCCTGTGATGGACTGGTG